TTCCGGATGATGTTGGCCTCGGACTGAAGGACGGGTCCTGCGTTATATGGCCCGGACAGGATCGACGACGATGGGATGACGCAGCCGGCTCACGGCTGTGGTGCGTGTGTGTCCTGCACGAGGCAGGACGATGTAGGGGCAAGTTGCCGCGACCGTGTGAACAGGGTGCCGAAACTTGCACGGTCACTGCCCAGGCCTCTCCATCCTGGCACAGGCAGGACTTTTCAGATGGTCTAGTGTTTTCTGTGACTGGAGGCTTGTGATTGCTGGCAGTTGTCCCGGGTGTGCTGTGTGCTGGACGAGGCAGGGGACGTTCGTGCTGTGTGACGGACGAGGCAGGGCACGTTGCCGGGACCGGTTCTACAAGGTGCCGAAAAGTCAGGTATACGGTAGGGTGGATTCGAAGGTGAGCAGTGTTTCTGGTTTTTGCTGACAAGCTTAGGCGTGGCCTTGTACGGGGCAGGTTGCCGCGACCGTTTCTAGCAGCTGCCGACAACTGAAGCGTGGATTGGAGAGGTGAGCGGTGTAATTCTATTTTTGCTGCCTAGCGTAGGAGAAGGCCCTGTTATGCAGGTATACACCTCCTACACTGAGCCCCGGGCTCGGCGTCGGAGGCGTCATGTGCTATGTTGACTCCATTTCCTACAGCCGAGGCCCTGGAGCTTTGAGCTTTTGCCTGTCCGGCGTAGGAGAAGCCTTTGTTATTGAGGTATACACCACCTACACTGAGCCCCGGGCTCGGCGTCGGAGGCGTCATGTGCTATGTTGAGTCCATTTCCTACAGCCGATTGGGCTGCTGCCCTTATTGTAGGTAACACACGTGTCCACTAGCCCCTGAGCAGCACGATGAGCTCGCCCAGGCCGGAATGCCAGCCATCTGCACATTTTCCCGCCGAAGGAGGACCGTCTGACTGACTGTTTTCTCGCCGTGAGCAGTGTTGGAAATTCTCGCTGACCTTCTCCAGAACAGCAGCAGCCGTATTTCGAAGGAAACGGTAAGTCTGCTTCTTTTGCGGAACCCATGGCGCCCCGTCGCAGCACCGGTGGAGACAAGAAGAAGGCCACTGCCACTGAGGCCTCGCCCAAAGCCCCGGAGGATGGCCCCATCATGAAGATGACAACGTCGGAGGGCTGGGATGCGGTGAAGAAGGCCATCAAGAAGCTCAAGGAGGCCAAGCGGTGGGTGACTTCAGGACCCGGACGAGTGTTCCAGCATTGAGTTGTGCCAGTGTAGGGCTGTCAAGGTCTTATGATAGCCACAGCCCTGGAGGAAAGAAGCTGCCGAAGGATGCAATGACGGGGGCCGTGACGACCTTGAAGCTGGCAGATATTAACTTCGAGGAGCCGGGACCGGGATTGACCTTCCCCACGATGGCCGAGTTGAGCGGATCGAGAAGTTACTGGTACGGCCCGAAGTGTGCCGTGTCCTTGCCCGTGCTCCAGTTGATGGCTCCCAGCACGTCCGGCAGTGCCAACTCTGTGGATGTCAGGCCGGCGGGATTGTGATATGTCATCAGTCACTCGGTCCTCTCTCGCCGTTCGGTACCCTGAGGCCAGGACAGCTTCTTGCGACAACCCATCTATCCCGGCTGGGCGCTTTCATCCTAGAGTTTGCGGACAGCCTCCGCGACAAAGACCGTGCGGCCGTCTTTCAGGAGTGTGCCGAGGCATCAGGGGCGTATTAATAATAAAGTCAGTGTCAGTGTCCAGGCTAACCGAGTTTCCATGCCGACAGGCCGTTTGCGGAATGATCGTGCGGACCGGCGGTGATGGGAAGGAAGCGTTCTGGCTGTGTCACAGGCAAGGAGAGGACGCCATACAACGATGCAAGGAGGCGGGCCGCTGGAAGTTAGGATCGTTCTTGAACATTTGGAGAGATGCCTGTGTTTTGAATTGATTGCTTGCAGGAGGGGAATAATCTCGCGTGGAGACTGGCACAGCGCCTGGAACAGTGCCTTGGCTCTGTTGGTCCATCACACATTGAATTTGCTATCGATGCTTGGCTCACCGAGGCTTCGATGCCTGAACAAAGGCTTGGGCCTGAAGTACACTCCGGAGGCTCTCTTCGACGAGTTCAACGAGCGTGTGCGTGAGCATGGCCTCACGTATGCGAGCGGCCTGTCCCAGGCGGAGCTTCTTCGGGTTCTTTTACGTGTTCGTGTGTGCACTCTTTGCGTGTGTCTTTCGAAGACTGAGAACATCGAGCGCAGATTGCAATGACAGGTCAAGTCGCCAGACATGATCAAAAAGCTCTTGAGGCTTTTGGGGCGGGCTGTGCAGGGGAACGTTGTCGAGGTTTTCCAGAACATGCAGTTTGTCGGCGGCCAGCCGACGTGGCTCGGACAATGGTCCGTGGTTGTGCGGCTTCTGGGGCCGTGCTCCAGTGGCAGCGAGCTCGCGTTCGTGGCCCGACACACGGCTGCAATGAGAGACGAAACATGCAGTAGCCGTAGTAGCGTAGTAGTCTATCTGTTGTCTTCGAAATATGTTAAGAGAGCGAGGTTGATTTCGACCGGTATTGTCCCGAGGTTGACCATCTACTAGGCCCTAGGCTTTGGGGATTCTTACCCAGCCCTGAAGGCCTGCAAAAGGCTTGAAGAAGAATCTAGGCTTTAGAGTTCAGGGCTTTCAACTGCATTCGTTGCACAAGAGCTGCCAATCCCATTTGGGCCCCCAAAGCACCCATGGGAAGTTTTGCAAATTCGGGTCTTACTTTATAAGGGTGCCTAGAGAACTATTTCTATAGTCTTTGAGGGCTGTTCCTAGACTTGGCCTCAGGCCAAATTAGACACCCTACAGGTAGCAGTAACAGTAGGAGCAGTGATCGCCATAGCAGAGAGAAGAAGAAGTAGTAGTAGTAGTAGTAGTAGTAGTAGTACTAGTAGTAACTGTTGTTGTTGTTGTTGCTGTTGTTGTTGTTGTTCTAGTCGTAGTGCCTTTAACCCTAAATCTAAACAACTCTAAACCCTACAAGAACAGCTACTAGGGCGACGGCTACTATTACTACTTAGGCTAGTACTACTACTTACTAGTACTAGTACTAGTAAGAGTACTCGTACTAGTACTAGTACTAGTCCTCGTGCTACTACTACTACTACTACTACTACTACTACTACTATTGCTACTACTACTACTACTACTACTACTACTACTACTACTACTACTACTACTACTACTACTACTACTGCTACTACTCGTACTATTGCCGATTAGCGCGGCTGCTGCTGCTAATGCTGCTGGCACTGCTACTACTAATGACTGCTGGCTACTACTGATTGACTGCTGACTATTGCTGACTACTACTACTACTACTACTACTACTACTACTACTACTACTACTACTACTACTACTACTACTACTACTACTACTACTACTACTACTACTACTACTACTACTACTACTACTACTACTACTACTACTACTACTACTACTACTACTAGTACTACTAGTACTACTACTACTACTACTACTACTACTACTACTACTACTACTACTACTACTACTACGAGTACTACTACTACTACGAGTACTACTACGAGTACTACTACTACTACTACTACTACTACTACTACTACTACTACTACTACTACTACTACTACTACTACTACTACTACTACTACTACTACTACTACTACTACTCCGACTACTACTACTACTGCTCGTCCTCCTCCTGCTCCTCCTGCTGCTGCTGCTGCTACTACTTCTACTTGTGTGGGGCGACAGCTAATGTACACCCATGAATCCGTGAAGAAAGGCTAGGCGGCGAATGCTGCCCGATCTAAAAAAGGTAATGCGACTCACGTCTTGTTGGGGATCCTGGGTGTAGTCATTTGCAGTTGATTCAGCCTGTACGCCAGCGGAGTGAATGGTTGCCTGGGCTGATTCGGGTCTGAAGCATGTTTCCGCTTAGAGTGCCCGGTGTGGATTTCCAAACTTGTTGTGAGGTTTGGCATTGGGGCTGAACAAATCGAAACCTATCCTTCCTCGGCATCTTCCTCTTCCCTCCTGTCACTCACCGACGACGAATCTCAGGAGTGCTGGAGATCCGGGCGTTCGGCACACCGCACGATCCGGATATGAGCTGGGGCTCGGTTCTGCCGGCATTGGGAAGCATGGGCAAGGCTGCTTGGCTATCTTGACTCTCAGTCTCTATGCTGCTGAGCGATTACTGATTCGCCATGATCTTCTTGTAGCACAGCTGAGGAAAACGCACCGGAGATCGCCAAGGTCCTTGTGTACTGTCAGCAGGTGCTGGGCCATCTCTGCGAGAAGTTCAGCAGCCTTCCGGAGGTGCCGAAGTGGGACCTGACCCCGTTCAAAACCATCGAGGGCTTCCTGACAGTGGTGTCGGAGGGCAAGCTCGAGATCTTCGGGCTTCCCGACCGTGCGAGGCGAGTGCACAACCTTCTCCGTGCCATCATTCGCGGCGAGCACTATGCGGACCGAACCTGCGAGTGTTTGTAAGTCGAGTCTCCATCAGAAATGCCGGCAACTGTGTCAGGACTTCGAGGCCACCATCAAGGAGTTTCCTGATGCCCCTCTGGCCACCAGGTTGGGGCACAGCCGGACACATGCCCTGTTCCAGGATGTCCTGCGAGAGCCTTTTGGTTGCAATAATATAGGTGGCTGACTCTGTCCCAACAGAAGCTGTGAGTGCATCCTTTGTCGAGGTGGCAGCATGCGCTCCCTCTTTCAGAGCCAGCGCCAGAGACTGCGGCTCAGGCGGCATTGCAGACCGAGGAGGACGAGCCGAGCGGTGCTGCCTCGTCGATGAACGACGAGGCAGAAAAAAACCGCCTGAGGGGCGTGAAGGCGGCTGGAATGGAGGAAATAGGTCATTATGTGAAATTCATCCAGATCGACTCGGACGGCCTGGCAGACGGATTATTGGTACACAATCGTGTCAAACCGAAGCTGGGTCCTGCTAATTATGCCTGATCGTCAGTCGTCATGTCTGAACCCTGATAATAAACTGCAAAAGCTAAGGGTCCTTTCCAGCATGCCCCCTTTGGACCGCGGGCAAAACGTGGTCTTCATCGTCGACCCAGGCGTCATGTCCGAGCCGTCCGAAACCTACACCCGAGCACACAACGTGTATTCGAGAACACCGTCGGTGTTCACCCACGTGATCACCGGCAACGTCAAGGCTGCTGGGATGTTCGCCTCGGAGTTTCCAGGGGTAGCGACGTTCGGGTGCTTCGACGTGGGCTCATACAAGGCCGGCCAGTGTATCAGGTCGCAGCTGGCCAAAGCCAAGATTGGCCGGTACCAGGCCTGGGACCTTCTTCCTCGACAGTGTGATATGGAAGCTCGGCTACTTTTCCGACATGGAACGGACGAGGATCAAGAGCTGCTTTGCTGCAGATTGGGAGTGCTCCACTCACTCACTCACTCACTCACTCACTCGATCAGGTCGGCACTGAAGCGGCGAAAAACGTTGGGCGTCACCGCCGGGCACTTGACCTACATCGTGGGACGTGAAGTTTTTCACTTCTGCCGGAGCATCAATCCCATCGATGCAAAGCCGCACAAGCACCTGACAATGCCGGCCGGGCGACTCGGAGCAAGGAGCTTCATCATTTCAGTCCGTCCAGAGTGTCATCATCGTAGAGTCCAGACTTCTGTGTTGCATGCGAGGTCTGGTGACTCGTCGGCCAGTTGGCTGACGATTCCGCTCCCTCACCCCTCCACACTGCGACCATTGGTGAGTAAGGCCGACAAGCAGAAGGCGGACGGGCTTTGTGGAGTTGAAATCAGTGTAGACAGCAGTTGCGTGGCCCCAGCATTTCAGGTGCTCATGAAGTATGACAGCAGGAACCAAAAGAAGGATGCCAATGCCAAGGCGCTCAACGATGAGGATGTTGTGCAGCATGCAGCAGAGATCGGTGAGGAGGACTGAATTTCGCATACTGCTGAGTAGCTACATCGTCGAGCTCCTGCAAAGCACGTGCTTCGGCAGGAGCTGCAGCCGTTGAATTACCTGGCGAGACATGGCAGCTTGCACAAGGAGCTCTGAGCTATTGCAGTTCAAACCAAGGCCCGTGAATTCAGCGTTGGTGTCAGGAGCTGTGGCACCTTCTGGATGCGGGACGGCTGGTCAGCTTCAGTCCAGAGTTCAATCAGCTATCCGCAGCCATGGAGCAGCGACTCTTCACCATTGCTCTGGTGCGAAGCAGCCTCCACGAGGACCTGCTGAAGAAGGAATTGCTCGAGTGGGTGACACAGGAGCTGCAGCGTCCTTCCAACGACCGTTTCTTCCGGCCTCATCTGGCACCGCCTCAGAAAGACGTCGTCGAGGTGGCCCCTGCCGCCGGGAGGCCCCGATTGAGACACGTCCTGGGAGCACGAGCAACTGCCCGGGACAGACCGAGGATCAGGAGGAGTATGGCGGCGATGACGGAGAGATCCCTGGGCTGCTGCAGAACATGGACGAGGACGAGGACCCGGAGGCTCAGGAGGAGTTTGAGGAGGATCTTGATGAGGGCAATGCCTAGGAAGTTTCACGACTGATGAGACTCAGCAGCCTGGTCGTTTTGGCTGGGACGGAGATTGAACTTAATTTTCTAAGGCAGCATGCTCATGAGTGCAGTGATTCGGGGCCTCCCCTCCCACACAAGACAGCTGCTGAAGTCAAAGACTCCGAACTTCGCAGGCCTAGCATCTGCGTGTGGTGAGAAAAGTGCTGCGGCAAGAGTCATATTGCAAGAGGCTTTGGAGGGCTTGCTGGTGACATCGCCCCATGCAAGGGTGTCAGCTTGGACTGAACTTACTTCATTGCACACTTGACAGCAGAAAGCCAAGCTGGAGGGATCATCGGTATCAGTCTTTGTCTGACTCTGCCATTGTCTGTGACTGGAAGACGGATAGGGGCTCGGGTCACTCATTGCTGCCTGACCTCTCTGTGCAGGCCCTTCGCCGTCGGCTTCATGGACGTCCTGAGGCTGTGTTCTGGAAGCTTTGGGGTTGGGATTGCTTGTAATAACCTTAGGGTGGCAGCTCCAGTCCTGGCGGAAATGTTCAATCGTGTCGTAACTCTGAATCGAAGTGTGTGAACCCAATAGCTCGCGGCTATCAGCCTGGCAATGATAAGAGGTGAGGCCCTGAGGCAAGAAGCCCCGCAAGCCACAGAGCGATGTAAGCCCTTCTGCTTCTAGTTGTCATTGTTCAAGCATGCCACGTCCTTTGACAGTAAGTACTATATTACCATACCCTCCCTGGCCTCATCGGAGCATCCATTTAATGTACGTGTGTTGGCATCATGAGTGCGAAGTGGGAAATCATGTTTGGGTTGACACTGACATGCTGTGGTAGTGTTAGTCATTTAGCAAGGTTCATGTAGGACCCAGAGTAGGCCCTTATTCCCTTTTTTAGGGTTCAGGTTCCCTTATAAGCCCCTTTAAACCAAAAAGGGCACCCTTTTTATTCCTAGGTTACTCTTAGGTCTACGTGTGGGACCGGTTTCCTGATGCGAGTCTGACTGCCCTTGGGGTTCCATTCCACTAGATAGCTTCGTCCCACACCTTATAAATCCTGCTTTGAAGTTCGTCTTGAAGCAGTCTGTGTGTATTCGCGAGCGACCTGAAGCGTTAGCAGCTTGCCAGGCTTTTGGGGTCTGTCTTATGAGGCTTCTGGAGTTTTCTGGGTTTAGGTTCCAAACTTCGCAACCCTCATGGCATCTAAGCGGTCGTCTCATGCGAATAGGATAGGTTTACTGCTGGATTCCAAGCTTGCAGGGGTGCAGGGTGTTGGGTTTGTTTTGGCCTTTGGGATTGGAGGGCTCGAGGGTCCGGGGTTTACAGTTAGATGATTTTAGGCTTTAGGGTTATACAGCCTCACATGGAGTCATAAAGCTTTCGGGCTGCAGCGGCATCTCTTTCGCATTTTTTCATGGTTTCTGAGATGATAAGTTCGGGTTGGGGTCCGGGTTGAAGGATTCATTAGGTGTTGGAAGCTGATATACAGTCTTGTTGTTGCTTTGTGCTGGGTTTGCGGTTTGGGTTGGGGTTTAATTAAGGATTGGGTTTTGGAAAAAGACATCCAGTTCTTGAGTTCTACTGTTACCTGAAATTTAGTTTCTGTTGGGGTTTCTGGGAGTTAAAGCTTGTGTAGCTGCGTACATGGGTAGCCCTAAACCCCCCCGAAACTGGCATTGTGGCTTTTGCTCCGGGCTATTGGGTTGCGGGGGGAGCGAGGATTCTTCCTAGGCTTAGGCGTTCAATTCTACGCATAAACCCAGGCCAGCCCACGGCCCCCAAACCCCAAACACCATAGCCTCCCTCCGATCTACAGCCACTCGGAACCGCCACACTGACACGGCGAGACAGGCACGCATGCCTCGGTTGTGGTCAATCCGGGACCAGTCCAGGGTCATAATCCCTCGCTGCACTTGCACCAGGAGTTGGTGCCGACCGACCGCAGACAGCGGTAGCATCAGTTGGTTGCCCAGTACGTGCTGCCGACCGACCGCAGACAGCGGTAGCATCAGTTGGTTGCCCAGTACGTGCATCGACCGGTTGGTCGTCGTCTTTTCGCCGGGACCAGGAAAAAAAAGATGCAAGAATCGCATCTGTATTCCGGCACCAACAAAAGGCCGAGCGCCGAGAGGCCACACACAGGAAGACTGGCCAGAAGATGACGTGGTGCATGCGTAATTCGGCCCCAACCCCCCTGCAGGCCCTACTTAGGCTGCTAGTGTACCCAACCCTACTAAGGTCCTGGTACCTTAAAATGGAGATCACTTAAGCCCTACGTAGGTGACTAAGCTGGAGCTCCAGCTGCGGCAGAAGTAGGGTACTCTAGTCCTATACTTCTAGGCCGGCTTTAGGCGCGGTGGCGGCGAAGGTCCCCAACAGCCCGATCTTCCGGTTTTAGCCTGAACCCTCCTCGGCCACATGCCAGCAATTCGTTGCAGCGGCGCTGCACGATGCTGAGGCGACCGTCACGCTTGAATCAGGTTTAGTCCTGACATAAAGAAACCATAGGTCGCCACCGAAATAATGCCAGCCGGTAGCTGAGTAGCTGTAGGCATTGGCCGTACATGAACGTGAACCAGAACTCCGCAGGCCGCAAGCCCAAACCCGTATTTCCGCCACTCCCAACAGAACCGCAGGACGTAGCTGCCTCTCACAAGTGCAAGGCTCCAAGACATCTGATAGATTAAGCCCCCTGATCTCCCGAACATCCCGGAATCTGGCCAGTCACGTCTGGCCTCCTGTGCATTGCTGGCAGCCTTGGCAGTGCCAAGGCAACGAAACCAGGTGTGGGTTTGGGGATCTCTCTGTAGCTAGCCACAGTGCCCGTGCGCCCGTTCTGAGCCCTCTCACAGGCTAGACCCCAAGCCTATCCTATCCTAGCGATGGGCCCTATCACAGTGCCCATCTTAAGCCCTGAGCCCCGAAATTGAGCTTGTGGGTCTAGTCTAGTTTAGGTTCGTTGCGGCATTTGGTTGTAGCGTGTTTCGGGTTGGATTTGTTGGGGCCTGCCATCGAAGACGGCCGAATCTAGGCTTGTGGGCTTTTATACTGATTTCATGGTGTGTCATCCGCACACGTGCATTTCAACTAGTTCTCAAGTGTCAGCTCCGGTTGATTCTAGGTTTGGTATGGTCTGAGGCATGGATCGAGGAAGGAAGGAGTGGAGGGTCCCGAGTAGTCGGGGTTGATTGGCAACGGCGGTGGGTTCAGGGCTGAGGGCTCCGGGTTAGATTCGGTTAGATCTGAGGGGTTTGCGCTTCATGTCAGGTCGAATGCATGTTGGTTGTACGAATTGACGATCTGTGTACTTACCATACATCCCAGTAAATCGTGGCCCGCTGGGTAAACCAGTGTATTGCGTGCACGACATTGAACCAGTCAAAAGTCTCTGCAACTGTCTGATTCTTGGTATAAAGCCCCCTGAATGAAGTTGGCATTCGTATCCTGAATCGGGCCTCGGCAGACTGAAACCAGGCCTTCTTTGGCGACGGTAGTTCCATGGCTTGGAGAAGGCTTGACCGGTGCATGGGACATCATGTCATTGGGCTTCCTCATGACTTTAAACTTGAGAGCCTTGTTTAGACTAGAGCTGGCTTAGAAGTTTCGGACTAGGGCCTAGGGTGACGAGGGCTAGGGTGACTAGGGATTGCGCTTACAGGACCTAGGATGCTGGTTTGTGACGTTCATGCCTTAGGCCAGTTTTGGAGTTGGGGTTGCCATCGAGCATTTTCTGGGATTCTAGGTATTCTGGGTTGTAAAGTTTGTGCTATAGGACTCTAGGATAGTTTGCAGCTCGGGTTCCTATAGCCTAGGTAGGCTGTAGGACTTTTGGTTTTGGTTTGCGTCCAGTCTAGGTCTTCGGCTTCAAGGTTTGGGTGGTTCCTTGGCCGGGTGGTCACGTAACTTCGGGCAATTGCTGAATTGATTAGCCGGGTTTGGGGTAATCAGGTGTTGGCCTTTACGAACGGGGTTCTGGGTTCTGGGACAGGGGTTTTGTGGTTAAGGGTTTTCAGGTTTGGGTTCAGCGTTGTGGGTTTGCCGGGTCTGGGCGTTGAGACTTTACAGTGTCGGGACAATCGCATTTTGCGACTTCAGGTCTTCTTTGCCATTCGGGGTTACATTTCGGATTATCATAAATTCATTCATAGCCTTGTTTCTTGGCTTGGCTTTGATTGAGGTACTTTGCTGCTTCGGGTTGACATGCCATGTCGAAGGAGGAGCCAGGTTTCAATATTACAGGGTTTTCAGATTATTTTGGCATCGGGTTTAGGGTGGAGGACCCTAAGAAAAAAAAGTGATCCGGCTTCGGCCAATTTTTTCAACAAAAAAGAAGACGAACGAAACGCACGGTGGTTTAGGACGTTTCGGGTTTAAGCACGGTTTATAGGCGTAGCGGTCCTCCATCATTCGGGATCCGGGAGGGTCGTGGGCGATTTCACTTCGGAGTTCAGTCGTGGGTGGCTCCTTTTGCCTAGGCCCCTAAGCCCCGCCCGAACTCCCGTGCCGTTGGCTTGCGAGACAATTCGAAGGCGGGACCGGTACGCGGACAGCGGGAGTGCTGGACGATTCTTCGCCATCAAGGAACTGAACTCATCAACCGCCGTGGGACGATGACATGAGGTGTCCTGGAGTGCTGTGCTTGGCACAGAGCAGGCAGTATCGGCAGTAACCCCTCTTCGCAGCCAGGCTGCTCAGTCGCCTCCGTCATTGTCGAGGCAGGGGAACTTTCCGCCTGTGGTGCAGTCCGTCTTTAAGTTCTGCTGTGCAGACATAACTGACGAAGACGACGTGGTGCCCACCGAAAAGCTGCAAACTTTCGTCGCAAGCAGCAAAGCCCTCCAATGCCCCGAGGCAGGAACATCGCCCGCATGGGGCTCCGCCATGTCGCAGCCCTTGCAGCTTCTGAAGGGCTTTTTTAATACTATAGAATTAGTGGTTTAGGTGTGCTGGGTAGATGGTGGCATCGAGATCGCAATCAACAACTAGAATAACTATGACTAGGACTAGGATACTAATAATACCACAGACCCAAGAAGCCACTAGAAACACCCAAACACCCGAGAAAAAGCGGTTGACCCTACCCTTCCTTCGCCTTGCGATCGCTGGCAATGGCGCGGGGCGATTCCACAGGCGCTGGGCATAACGGTTTAGTATGGTATGTTTAGTCCTTACCCCTCCAATCAATCGGTAGGAGACGAAACAGTGACGAAACGATTTTTTTCCATGCCATGATGAGCGATGCCACCTTAGCCAGCACGGTTCATAGAAGCTGTAACAACTTTACAATTCAAATAAGTCAAAACCGGCCTTGGGACCTCGAAGCTAAAGTTCATGTCGTATCATACGAAGGTCTCTCGTGGCTCACATGGTAAGAACCCATGCGCCGGTACCTCTCAACTGCTCTGTTCAGGTTCCCTCGCTCGGTTGATGCCGCCTGGCCTCCACGTTGCCGTTGTGGTCTCGGGGTTGGGCGGGGCAGGGTCAGGGACCTGGGGATGGTATTTCGGGTGTGTCGGGGTTTGGTCGGGGGTTCATGGTTTCGGCTTTTGAACTTTTTTTTTTCTATTTTAGGGCGGGTCTAGGGTTTATTGAATTTCGTGCTCTTGTGTGTGTGTGTGGGGGTGTCGGGCTGAGGGTGAAGGGTTTTTGGTAGCTGGGAGTTTCACAAAACTAGGGGTCCCTTTTGGGGGTATAGGGTTCAATAGTTGTTTTTTGATGTTGCGGCGGGGCGGGTGGCGGGTATTATTCTATTGATTACTATTGTACCATAGCGTATGAGGAACCCCTGACTAATATTACTAATTATTTAGGCTTCTCTATCATAGGGCTTCATAGGGTTCTATAGCGTTTTTAAAGGGCGTACTCCTTCGAGGGATGGAAAATCAAACGGAAACTATTGTCATTTCTTATCTATTAAATTAAAACAAACTACATAATTACCAGTGGTATGGTTTAGGCTTAGGGTTCCTATTATATGTATAGTCCACTGCCTGGGCTAGCTTGCTGGCCCGAATTGAGCATGTGAATCAGTGAGTTGGCACAGGCATGGCCTCTCACTGATTCGTCGGGTTGGGTTTGTTCCGGGATCCTAGGGTGATGATGTGTTGGTGGAGGTGGGCTTTGGGATACCTCGGGCGACAATTGTCAAGTCGTTTGGTTCTGGTGTCGGATGTAGCTTGCTGTATGCACTCGGGCAGTTGGGATCTTTACGTTGGGTCCGGGTTAATCGCTTGCTTGGTTGGTTGCGGTTGGCCCTTACAACTTTGCTTAGGCCTAGGCTTGCCTAGAACTTAACCTCGTAACACCTCGCAAACCTAAACCTACTGAATTCGAAACCGTGAATAGTAATCGTTAAGGTAGGGTTTAAGGTTTCTTAACAGAAAATCAACAGGAATAGGTTCCCGCCAACCTTTTTGGCCTGGCAAGCGTCGCTCAATCCCCACCTGGCAGCCGAAGGCAATCTTATTATTAGCACCCTGCTCAATAAAGACTAGCTCAGTCCGGGAAACCTGATGGACACAAACCTCCCAACAGCCTAGAGTTTAGGGCTTTGGAGAAGTGCGTGGGTCGTACCCAAAGCCATAACCCCAGGATGGAAGCCCGACAGAAGCTGACGTGCAGGTGTTGCTGGCTAGCCTTGGCTTGGTTAATAGCCCGCTTCAGAGAATCATCATCATCCCAGGCTTCGTCATTCAATTTAAGCTAGGCCCGGGCTGATTTTCATGCGAGCAAGAACAGGTAAATCCAGGAACAGTCCGAAGACCACGGTTGCGGTTGTGGGTCTAGGGATTCAGAAGTTTCTTGACCTGGTGAAGACCCAGTGACACGTCGTGGGTTATGCATCGGTTTAGGTCGACTATCACAGGGACACTGCACCTGCACTATTATAATAGCTTGCATGCCAGCATACAAGCTGTTGATGTCTGACACCAGATTGGGCCTTGACTCAGGTGGCAGTAGTGATGAATGGGTTTTTCGCAGCTTTCTGGTCGCATGCGCATGTCCCTCCACGTTGCTGTGCTTGCTAGACGGAGGAGATCAATTAGTCGGTTGCCCAGAATTAAAATCTATGGCATCTATGGCTTCAGATTCAGATTGTCGTCCCAGATTTCTGTGATGACGGTCAGCCACTTGCTTATGCCTAAGATTCATTGTTGAGCAAACTTTTCATGGCGGCTAGCTCATCGTCTGCCAGCGGTGGCCAGCCTGGTGGCGGAAATTCGGCATCGAATCTGAAAAGAAGCCTGACCTCTGACTCAGCTGGAGGGAGCCCCAGGAAACACAGGAAGACTGCTGCCGACGGCAGCCCGGCAAGCAGCCCCGCCACAGAGGTGGCACGGAAGCGGGTTGACTCCACTGGACCTTCGAAAGCCTGGGCCCTGCTGACGAGAGGTGGGCCAGCATCGACCGCGAATGAGGAGAAGCATGTTGCTGCGTGCTACAGGAAGCATGGGGGTTCCGCGGCATGGTTGCAAAGGTCTTGTCAATTCGGGTTTGTTGACTGCCGTTTTTTCTTTCTGCACCCGTGCCGACAGTGAACACTTCAACAGACATCATCCTCTAGAGATGGAGGCAGTGCTACTAAGTCTCGCAAAGTGAAGTGAGGTGAACAAAATGCTGGCGTCGTGCAATGAGTGCAGATGGTATAAGCACAGGGCCAATTGGAAGTCTCGCTGCGTGTATTTGGAGGCGAATGGCACGCAAAAATCATGGTTGGAGGCCGCGTCCACGAGTCCCTCCCCGTTTGGCCTTAGATGCCGATGTTGTTTCGAATACAATGGCGAGGCCAAGGACAGCATGGCGTCGCCCTACATCACAGGGCTCAAGGGCAGAATGAAGCATCTGGACTGCATGTCCAGGATATTTTGCATATTTCTGTCCCGTGACACAATCACTCTTCTCCCGCTCCTAGTGAACCTTCCAACGGCAAGTCCAGTCTCAGGCACGCTGCGAAGCAGGCGACTCTGCAGATATGCGACCTGCTTGATCACTCCAGGTCGCCACAGCATCTAGCAGCTGTCGCGAGCCGAGGCAGTGAGACGACAGAGCATGAGCATGTGGACGGCAAGAGCAACACCACACCCACCATCGCACAGCTTTTGCTATCTCAGGAAATTCTGAACAATCCGCTGAGCGCTCAAGGAGCCGAATACTCAAGAATGTGCAGTCTTGGAAGCCGTGCCGACAGAGCGAATTTTCCGTTCGCAAGATCGGATGCCGGCCAACACTTCAAGAATGTGCAGGCCATGGCGGCTGTACTTTTCGAAGAGGATAGAGCGGCTTTCAAGCGTCCGGGATTTAGATGCTTGTCGGTGGCGGAAGACGTTTGCGGAAGCCTGAAGCTCGTCAGGTTTCGTGGGGTGACGACCGACTTCGGTGTCCGAACCCGTATGCTGGATGTGTGCGAGTCAACTTCGAAGATCGCACTGCACAAGAAGGACCAGATGGAAGCTTCAATCCAGGAGTTTTGTGACCGCAGCCAAGAGCTGGTGGACACCTTCAAGAAGTCCGTTCAGGCGGGCCACCTTATTCCACAGGTTGAGGTCCCCAAACTTAAGGGCCATCACGACTTGGTGTTGAAGTAAGTCTCGTTGCAAACCCGCGTCACTGGTTACCCCATATTATGTGGACCTGGGACCTGCATGGACATAGGGGGAAGGAACAGATTTAATGTTGAGGGTGCCAGGATCGGGGGCATGCGGGTTGGGTGGGATTCGCAGAAGCCCTTTGCAGGGCTGGTGTACAGACGGAGAGCCAGCAGAATTGTTGGGTGGATCTCTATGCAAATCCACACTGTTTCCGGAATTGCGTACTGTTTTCCGGTGCTACCTACATGCCGCCCAGCGAACAATGGAGACTTCGCTTCGGAGTGACAGCAGAATCGACAAGTTGTTGACGGCAGTGGTCACCAAATTCTCCTCGGATTCTGGCACCGGCCCCTCTGATTCTTGATATTTTACTATAACTGAGACAGTGTAGGATTCCAGTCCCAAGTGCGAGTGGTTATCAATGAACAGTCGTGCAGCTAAGGGTACGGCTCCCTCGCCAGAGGCCTGGGCAACTCGCCGAAGCTCAAGGGCCACTTCAGGGCCACTGAGCTCAAAGAGCTCGACGAAATCGCCGAGATCAAGCCGCTGTGCGAAGTACTTCTCAGACAAACCCCACCCCGGTCCACCCAGTGAACACTTGACACCTTCACCCCGAGTCCAGAGTAAATAATGAGACAACGGCCACGTACGAAGTATCATGTGGCCAGTGCTAAGACAATTGTAATTTAAGGAGAATGTCTGAATGCGATGATATAAGGCAATGCTCAAAGTCGTTGCACTGGGCACAGCACAGATTCGACACGGTCACTGCTGTTCTTCGCATCGTGGTTCTTCGTATTTCGACCATCCTGCAGTTCTTGATTGAGATTCGCTCCATGGATGGCAAGGCCGCCCCCTGGGCGGCGGACTTGCTGGACAACGTTGCCTGGCACATGTTACTTCATCAGACAAGCAGACTGAACTTGCCTAACGTAACGACGCATATTTCAACCAATCTCCCAGGTCTTTACGACGGAGAACCTGATTTTGCTCTCGTTGATAGCAGAATGGTCCAGCACAGTAAGCGGCTATGTCCATCGCTGGGACAACCTGGGTCGCGACAGCTCAGGGAACCCGAAGAGGAACCCGATCGGGCACTTGGCGTTCGTTTGTCGGTCCATGGGCACTCTGAAGAAGGCAGGGCATCAGTCGTGTCTATCCGCCAGTCATTTCCGGGTTACATGTGCCGCATGCCAGGACCTGGGCCTTCTGTTTGAATTTGACATCAAGACGAACAAGCCGCCTCTGGTCATGGACCAGCGATTTACCAAGGGCTTTGTGCAGATTCTGCGTGGATGTCTTACAGGCAGACGGATTCTTGTAATCAGGGCTTGTTAGCTACTGTTACTTCAAGTCATTGCACTCCCCAGGAGGCCGCATTGCAGCATGCACATCGCTTGGCGCCGGCGGAAAGGTGCTGTACCGTGGCCGAGGCCAGATCATCTTGGATGTATTCATCTTGCGGTTCAGGCCCTTGGCCTTGGAACAGTAGTCGTGGTCCCAGGACTCTCCGACGATGACTTCCAGGCGACACTCCTGAAAGAGATGGGCTCGATCAAAAACGTCTCCCGCGTGTACCTGCAAGAGCTTAAGACGGAGCACGAAGTGGGCTTGGGGCAGGGGTTCGGTGCGTTCGACATGGAGTCCTCGACTGTAACGAAGCCTGAGACCCTGGACGAGCTCGCGAAGCTCTTCGGAGCCACGGCGGGGTACTTTGCATGTTCAGTGCTCGAAGTGCTTGCAACAATAATTTCGTGCTGCAGGGCCGGGACCTGCTGAACGAACTGAACTTGGTCCGGCCAAGCTGTGTTCAGCTCCTGAAGTCACAGTCTTGGATTCTACGGCAGTTTCGTCAATTTCATCCTGAAGTTTGTTTGATTCATGAGCTGCCTCGCTGAGGGCAGGCCTCGTGAACCCCTCGGAGTACTGGGGGCAGGTCATGCTGCACTGGGCCCCGAAACTCCACGTGCTGCCGCAGTGCGTGATAAGCTGAGTCGCTTTTGACTGCTGGCAATTAATAATAAGATTCGCTCCCCAAAACAGACTCAGGTTTCCCTGTTGCTCACATTGTTCGAGTCAACAGGGGTCCTGGAGCAGAATCTCGCGGC